AGACTAACTCCGGTCTTGTTCCCGGTTACCTGACTCCTTCACAACGTCTTTGACCCCAAGGCTTCTAGTGTCCACAACCAGTGTAACAGAAGACATCTGGAATGGTGTTTGGGTTGACTCTGAAAACTTGGATTCACTGCCTGTGGGGGCCTGTGGCTCTGGATCGGAGGCTTCAACTGACTCTTTTGTACCCTCTTCGACCCAACCAGTCCCCCTTTCTCCCGGTCCTGTCACCTCCAACGTCCTGCCTCATAGTGACCATCCACAATGACACCGCCGCCATCCTGACCGCTTACAGCTTCAAGAAAGGATAAGAGATTTCCGTTGGCCTTCATATAGGCCCTGGAAACAGTCTGATCCTGATTTTTTCCCCACAACTTTCTTCAGGAGACTAGTCTTCACCTTTCAGAGATCCTGTCCCAGTTCCGGTGGATGAACTGTGTTTCAAAGGGTGATTGTTGTTCTTGGGTTTTCTAATTATCGTTCTACTTTATTTTGTTTTTGTTTTTTTTTTTGGTGGGAAGGAAGGTGTTATAGCTGAATGTGTTTACATGCTCTGTCACTTTAACTAATGGCTCCGCCCCAGAATGACACACAAGTCAGAGGGCACGGCAGCCATCTAAGGTAGTCAGTGTGAGTGTGCATAGACAGTAATAGGAGAGGATGTTCACTGCTGTATTCCTGTGATGATACTTATAAACCTGATTATGAAGTAAGAGTGCAGCAATAAAGGAATGGTGCATCCAGCAACAAAGGCCTCATTTTTCAGCAGACAGAAAGTATAACACCACATATGCACTATATTGCCAAAAGTATTGGGACACCCCTCTAAATCATAGGATTCAGGTGTCCCAATCACCCTAATGACCACAGGTGTATAAAATCAAGCACCTAGGCATGAAGACTGCTTCTACAAACATCTGTAAAAGAATGGGTGGCTCTCAGGAGGTCAGTGAATTCAAGCATGGTACCGTGATAGGTTGCCACTGTGCAATAAGTCCATCCATGAAATTTCCTTGCTACTAAATATTCCACGGTCAGTTGTTTCTGGGACCAACAGCAACTCAGCCATGAAGTGGTAGGCCATGTAAAATGACATAGCAGGGTCAGCGCATGCTGAAGCGCACAGTGCGCAGAAGTCACCAACTGTCTGCAGACTCAATAGCTAAAGACCTCCAAACTTTGTGTGGCCTTCAAATTAGCACAACAACAGTGCGTAGAGAGCTTCATGGAATGGGTTTCCATGGTCAAGGAGCTGCATCCAAGGCTTACATCACCAAGTGCAATGCAATGCATCGCATGCAGTGGTGTAAAGCACGCTACCACTGGGCTCTAGAGCAGTGGAGATGTGTTCTCTGGAGTGACGAATCACGCTTCCCTGTCTGGCAATCCAATGGACATGTCTGGTTTGGAAGTTGCCAGGAGAATGGTACTTGCCTGACTGTGCCAAGTGTAAAGTTTGGTGGAGGAGGGATTATGGTGTGGGGTTGTTTTTCAGAGGTTGGCCTTGGCCCCTTACTTTCAGCGAAGGGAACTCTTAAGGCGTCACCATACAAGACATTTTGGACAATTTCATGTTCCCAACTTTGTGGGAACAGTTTTGGGATGGCCCCTTCCTGTTCCAACATGACTGCGCACCAGTGCACAAAGCAAGGTCCATAAAGTCATGGATGAAAGAGTTTGGGCTGGAGGAACTTGACTGGCCTCAACCAGATAGAACACTTTTGGGATGAATTAGAGCGGAGACTGTGAGCCAGGTCTTCTCATCTGACATCAGTGTCTGATCTCACAAATGTGCTTCTGGAAGAATGGTCAAACATTCCCATAGACACACTCCTAAACCTTGTTTACAGCCTTCCCAGAAGAGTTAAAGCTGTAATAGCTGCAAAGGGTGGGCCAGCTCAAAATGTAACCCTACGGACTAAGACTAGTGTGTCGTTAAAGTTCATGTGTGTGTAAAGGCAGGGGTCCCAATACTTTTGACAATATAGTGTATGTGAACAGGCACAAGAGAAACCAATGTTATTTCACATATCTTGCGAATTGGATGCAGCTCAAACCGCATTCAATTTGCATATATGTGAAACGGCTCTAAAGGTCAAATAAAAAAGCACCACACTGTAGTAAATCCTCCTCCAGCCTAAGCTGTAAAAGCAACATCAAGACCAGGTTTATTATGCTTGTGCCCAGTTGACAGGTGGAGGCCCACAAGCGGCAGACTGGTGGCATGCATGTGGGTTGGTAGCAGTATCTCCTGAAAAAATGCAAGACCGTCAAAAAAGCAGATGGAGCTTTTTTGCAAATGTGGGACGGGAAGGAAGGAACATGAAGCTCCTGTGCCAAAGAGAGCACAGGGGCACAAATATGGACATAGGTGCTCATGTGAGGCCAGCATCCAAGGAAGGAAGAACCATCCTGAATAGCTCTATAAGGTCTCCCTAGCTGATGTTATGATAGATATTTTGGGCCTACAATAATTTTTAACATTATTGTGAACTGATAGGGGTCTAAGTCTCAGTTCCTGCAACTTACCGGAACTGCATTTTCTAAGTGGACATTGACTGTGTATACAATTTTCCATCTGTTTCATCACCTCAACACCCCCCCTTTGAAGGTTTCCTGTAGAGGTTTATGGTAGTATGTCCACCTGGCTAAAATAAGCCCTGGAGTCGTCATTCCTAACACCTCCTAGGGAGTATTGTCATACATCTTCCTGGGGGAACTGAATTCAAAGGAGGTATGCTGAGTTGGACATTGGCCTGACATAAATTCCATCTGATGAGCTACAGTTGGCTAATATCTTTCACAAGTAACAGAGCCCCCCATTGAACAGCAAAATACTGGAATTTATTGAAGGGTGTGACTTTACCTAGAATGAGGGTGAGGAGGTATAAAAGTAAGCCGTTGCTCTCTTTCTCTCCCTCTCTCAAAGTCCAGTCATCAGGATGTCTGCGTAACGTACCACCATTATTCTATGTTTCTTTCCTGTAACTTTATTTCCTGTAGTTGTCTCTATGTATTGGTAACATTCTGTGTTTACATTGTAATATCATTACTTTTAAAGTTATACCAGCTACTTTTTATTTTGTTATAATTGATTAGTAGTCAGATTCTTTATTGTGTAAAAATAAATTAGATCTTTATTTTTTGCACAGTTGTTATCATTTGGTATTAACATTATTGGTAATAGCCACATGAGGATTGGCTAAATTCATGTATAGACAAAAGGTTGTAATCACTTATTACGTTTATCACCAAGTGAATAAGTGAGGTGGCAAAACCGCCAAAACAATGTCCATCTGTGAAAACATTGCATGGCATCTTCACAGTACTGGAGCACTGGAATAGGCTGCAAACTTTAAGCAGCAAAATATTGGAAATTTAGTAGCTGATTTCCAGTTCCCATGATAGTACCAAGCCCATACCTCCTCCCCAGTAAAGAGCAAGGCCCACTAGCAAGAACAGAGCTTTAGAAAGGGCTTTCAAATGCTTTGAACAGACAGAAATAAAAGGCTAACAAGAGTTCTAGGTTTCCTCTACTTTACTAAAGAAAAACTTTGTAATTTGTCTGTTTTCCTGTTGGAGATTTTCCCTCACTTCCTGTCTAGTAAAACTTGTCAGCAGGGCATAAAGTGAAAGAAAATCTCTCTATTGAAGCCCTGGATAACAGTAAAAAAACAGTCATATGAAGAATCAACACACTCCAAGAAGGAAACGTAAATATCCAGTTTTATAGAGATTCCATTTTAGAGAGGTGGTGAAAAACAGATAAGTGTTCAAATCCTTCCCAACTTTGTCCAAAACCAAAATAAAAGTGTGGTCTGGACATACGCTTTAAGTGTGTCACAACATTTTTTAAGCGGTACATTTAGATTATTATGTGCAGGGATGTGGAGTCTAGATGGGAACTAGGTTCTGATGAAGGTTATTAACCATTTGCCTACCAGGCACTTTTACCCCCTTCCTACCCAGACCAATTTTCAGCTTTCAGTGCTTTGAATGACAATTGTGCAGTTATGCAACACTGCCCAAAATACATTTTTATAATTTTTTTTAAACAATCAGAGCTTTCTTTTTTGGGGGGTTTTATTTTTTGCTAAACAAACAAAAAAGAGCCGACATTTTGAAGTTTTTCTTAGTTTCTGTTATAAAGGTTTGTAAATAAGTATTTGTTTTCCTTCACTGATGGGCACTGACAGGCTGAACTGATGGGCATTGATAGGTGGCATTGATGGGCACTGTTAGGTGGCACTGATTCAGCTGATGGGCACTGATTGCCAGCACACATGGGCAGTGATGGGCACTATTGTCTGCAATCATGGGGCTACACTGATCACCCCTACGAAATGCCGCTTAGTAGCTCTCCTCTTCTCACACATTGTCAGCATGAAGAGAGGACTGCCGGTAACCAGCATTTCCTATTTACCCTGTAATCAGCTGTGATTGGACACAGCTGGTCATATGTGCTGTAAGCAGCTGTGATTGGCCAGTTCCTTAGTCATGTGATCAGCTGTGTCCGAAGGACACAGCAATCACACATGGCACGCGGGGGGGTGGTTCTGGGAGGATGTCTGTGGATGCCCTTCCAGAACTAGCTGACCTCTAGCTGTCTCTTGGCTATAACGCAGTTGGGAACTGGTTAAAGTGGTTGTAAACCTCAGACATAAAATATGAACAAAGCATATCCCTCTATAGTACAGTACTTGTCTCATTTAACCACTAGTCTACAGGGCACTTCTACCCCCTTCCTGCCTAGGCCAATTTCCAGCTCTCAGCGCTGTCACACTTTGAATGACAATTGCGCAGTCAAACACTGTACGCATATGAAATTTTTATCATTTTTTTTGTGACAGATAGAGCTTTATTTTGGTGGTATTTAATCACCTTTGGGTTTTTTATTTTTTCTTAAACAAACCAAAAACCACTGAAAATTTTGCAAAAAAATGTTTTTTCTTAATTTTTGTTATAAAATTTTGTAAATAAGTGATTTTTCTCCTTCACTGATGTGCGCTAATGAGGCTGCACTGATGGACACTGATAGGTGGCACTGATGGGCATTGACAGGCATCACTGATGGGCACTGATAGGCGGCACTGACTGGCACTGATGCCCACTGATAGGCAACACTGACTGGCACTGATGGGTGACACTGAAAGGCAGCTCAGATGGGCACTGATATGTGGCATTGATGTGGCACTGATACGAGGCACTGACATAAGGCACTGATGGACACTGACAGGTGGCACTGCTGGGGCTACGCTGATCATCAGTGCCCTGATGATCAGTGTACATGTCCCCTCTGCGGAAAGCCGATTACTGGCTCTCCTCTCGAGCTGTCAGCGGGACAGCTCGAGAGGAGAGAAATGCCGATAACTGGCATTTCCATTTACATGTGATCAGCTGTGATTGGACACAGCTGATCACATGACCGAGCCGACATCTTCGGCTCTTTCCGTGATCGGTGATCCGCTGTGTCCGTGGGACACAGCGCACAGTCGATCGCAGCTCTGCTCACTCCCTGAGCCGCGCATGCGCAGTGAGAATGGGAGGACGTCATATGACGTCCTCCCAGAACGAGAGAACCACCTTGCGCCCGTCATATTACTATATCGTGGGCGGGAGGTGGTTAAAAGCACCAAGTGTCATTTTTGTCTGCTGCTTTATTCCTCTGCTATTAGCATGAATCACTTCTGACAAGTTTTCCTGACACCAAGAGAAAAATAGTGCCAGGGGAGAGACTTCCAGCAGATTGACAGCCTCAGCTCTGTTCTTGTGAGCTGTGTGGAGGGGTGTGTGTGTGTGTGTCTTATCTCCTATCAGCTCTCAAAGTTTTTTCTCACTAAGCTCTGCAGTGTGTAATTTCAGCTCTAAGCCCCCTGTTTTCTGACAGCTCAGACAAGCTTTATAAATTTAGCACTTTGTAGGGGACAGACAGCTGTAAACATGTACAATTTATACAAAAGGATTTATTTAATCTCTTTGTATCACCTGAAGCAAGTCACTTCACTGGGTACATTTAAGGGCTTACAACCACTTTAAGTATAGGGATATGGAGCCTTGATGGGAGCTAGGTTCTGCTCTGGATAACTCCTGCAGGGATGTTGAATTTTGATGGAAGCTAGTGTAGTGATACCCTTGTGAGGGTCACTGTGTTTCCAGATCCCCCTTAGCTCCGCACAGCCAGGCAACATGCACTTGCATCCATAGTCAATGAACAGTCCATGATCTTGGTTTTTGTTATTTTATTACTGGAAATAACTTGGATAAGGTAATAGGAATCATGAGATACCCAATTTTGCTGAATCAATGCACGGGGTTACTTCCTTCCTATTTACAGAAATAGATCCTGGTCTGTTCTTTTTCCTGGAAAGCAGTCAGTCTTTGCGGATCAGTAGCAACAGCCCCTTATGGTCTAGGGACTCACAATCCCCCTTGAAAACCAGCTTAGCTTACTGCAAACTACATGCAGAGAGGTCTCCTGTAGAACTGCTCTCAGCTGTCAGACACTACCAGCCCTCCTGGCTGCTCTTAAGATCTCCCAGGACAAGGATAAAGGATTAAGCACAATTCTGTCCTTTGAAAGCTTGCTACATGTACCAATCTCTACCCTTGTAAACCCTTGGGTGTGCTAATGTATTCACGCTTTCCTCTTTGCTCCCACTGCTCTCAGACCTTAATCCAGTTCAAGCCACACTGCTTAATGGACCCTCCTGAGCCAGCCAAAGCCCAGCCTGGAAGCTGGCTCCCCCTAGAAATAGGGGACCCCTCTCAGACCACTGACAGTCTCCTCAGCACTCCATTTTCCACCCAACTCCCGTCAGCCTGACTCTCTCATATTTATGGGCTGAACCCACACTCTACCAGAGCCTCCAAACCTGGGATTGGTTAGACTCCCATAAACATGCAGATTAGGTCACCACCTCTTCCGCCTACTGGCTTCTGGAAGATTCCAGTGGTTCCAGACCTAGGTGGAGGCGATAGAGTCCCAACCTGGATTATTATGTACCGGGATGTGGATCCTTGATGACCCTTTGTATTAACTCTATCTAGCGATCTTAAGATACTAAACACCTAACAGAGGCCTGAATAGCAGTAAAAACCAGCCATATGAATAGTAGTCAGCACACCCAAAAATGAACCACAAATATCCTAGTGTTCTAATACTTCTCACCGCTGTCCAAAACCAAAATAAAAGTTTGGGCTGAACATACACTTTATATAAGTCAACAATTTACAATATAATAGCTGCATTATTTACCAACATAGTTTTTCTTTTATTTGAATATTATGTAGAGAGATGTGGAGTCTAGATGAAAGCTAGGTCCTGATTCAGATTATTATATACAGGGATAAAGAGCATCAATGCCCCTTTAAATTGGTAGTCAGTACTCAGTGTCCCCTGACATTGATGCTCATTATTCAGTGCCCTCTTACATTGGTGGTCAGTGCTTAGCACCTCCCTTTTGTTTGTGGCAGCAGGATGCATGCAGGTGGACAAGTAAGGTGGCTGATGATGCTGTATCTACATGCTGGCAATGACATGAAGTCTCTGGGCTGGCTCTACTTTTGTAGGCTGGTGAAAGTGCTGGGTTAGGCAAAAAGTCTTGCTGGCAATTACATACAGATGGACTTAGATACTTGAGTGTTGCCTTAACCAAGGAGACAGGCTTTGCAAGGGGATCAAACTGACAGGTTGGGAGCAGCAACCCAGTGCAGTTTTGAAAACAAAAAACAGTCTGCTGCCTTGGGACCCAGAGTACCAGACTTGAGATATGTGCCCTAGATGCCTAGCACTATTGACACCTCTGATATAAGGCAGACATACAATAAATGTTAGTTTTCATACTCTTTGAGAAAGAATTGTGTATAGTGTAAAATGTGTAAATAATGTATTCTGGTTGCCATAAAAAAAAAAATGAATAAATAAGTTTCTAAAGTCTGAATTGCACTACTCAGTTATGTACAAGCTTGATGTACCTTATTGAAACAAGCTGAACCAGCACCCAAGCACAGCAGGGAAGTGCTAAACACTGACCCACATAGAGCAGTGCAGGCTTTCTTGTCTATTTAGGCAAGTGAACAGAATGGAGAGTAGTGAAAGAAAAGTTAGGTATGTGCACCTGGAGATAAGGGTATTAATGAAAACCTGCTGCACAGGTTCACTTTAAATGAGGCATATCATTTTTGCTTCCCCTCTCTGGTTGACTTCTTTCAAATTGTTCTTCAAGAGAGGGATTCATTCAGTTATTACTAGAGAAGTAACATTTCTGGAAATCTTGATGCCATGGGAATTTTTTCCCCCGTTGTCGTCCAGAAAAAAAAAATACAAAAAAAAATTCAGTGTGGAGTAATTTTACAAATTGAAAGCCATTTTGCTGCAGTGTAAATGCAGTGCAGTGGAAATAAAGGCATGATGCTTGAATTAAAAGTGCAGCTTATCCAGTAAAGAAACTCAATTGATTTTTAAAATTTACAATTATCCAGAAGCAGTGGAAAGACTGTTTCTGGAATTAGAACTCTGGAGGGAAAAGCTACTTGCACTTTCATTATGGTCCTCATTATTTAATTCCATAAAGTATTTTTAATGTCATCTCTGGTCTGGAAGGATGTGTTTTGTCATCCTTGTAGCATTTGGAAAAGAATATTTCTTCTCACAATATTTGGAAATTGCAGCTTTGCTCTCAGCAGAAATTGCACTGTGGAAATGTTTCCAAATCTAGGCGTTGGTCTTACCATTATACTGAGAGGAGGATAAAAACAATTTACCGACCAGACTATAGATAAACATTATGCTGTGATGGTGGAGAACTTTAATAAGAATCATTTCAAGGTTGTAAAGATAAACTAATTTGTCAAACAAATGTACCCTCCTACCTGTTAATTAAGACATTAGAAGTGGACATAAATGATCATCTATTATATCCCAACAATCTCCCAACTGTAGGAGGACATTATTATTATATAGGATTTATATAGCACCAACAGTTTGCTCAGCGCTGTACATTATAACATTATGGTCAGAGACAGTACACGAGACAGTACAGTAACAATACGATTCAATACGAGGGGTTCGAGGGCCCTGCTCCTTGGAGGGAGGGGATAGTGGTACAGGAGGCAATAGCTGTGGGGGATGGAGTGGTAGGAGTTCAGTAATTAGCTGAGGGCAGGGTAGGCTTCCCTGAAGAGATAGGTTTTCAGAGTGAGCCTAAAGGTGAGGAGAGTAGGTGATAGTCTGATGGATTGGGGTAGGGAGTTCCAGAGGATGGGGGAAGCCCTGAAGAAGTCCTGGAGGCATGGGAGGAGGAGACCAGGGAACTAGAGAGTAGGAGGTCTTGTGAGGAGCAGAGAGTATGTTTTGGGTGGTATTTGGATACCAGATCGGTGATGTAGTTTGGGGCAGTATTATGATCAGCTTTATACGTCAATGTAAGTATTTTGAATTTTATCCGTTGGGCAATCAGAAGCCAGTGGAGGGATTGGCAGAGAGGGGTGGTGGATACGGAGCAGTTAGTAAGAGGGATGAGTGTGGCCGCAGCATTCAAGATAGACTGAAGCGGACAAACTATCATCTAATGTACCCCAACAATAACCAAACTGTAGGAGGTACAATATGGAGCCCACAAGCAAGCTAAACTGTAGCCTTTACCATGCATTGCCCCCTAATGGCAGAAGTGCATATTTCTCTTATTTGAAAACTGCATTTAGAAGTATAATGTTACTTGAATTGTATTCCAAGATTTGCTTGTCTTCAGCTGAGAGAACGTGCAATAATTTAAGACTTTACATAGAGTCAGAAATCTTTCAGTAAGGTCTGCATTTAATATATATAGTTTAAATACCATGTCATAGATATATTATTTATTATTGTAAAAGAACATATTCCGCACTCATTTATTTCTATTTTTCCAGAAAACAAAAAACGGCTTTGGACAAAAACAGAAAATATTTTTTTTCCCAGGCCTTTCCATCTCTAGTTATTACTCAGCTTGTGTCCACATGCTTAATGTGGATAGTATCAAAACTAAAAAAGTAGAAATCAGAAATTGTCAAGAAGATTATTTAAAATATAAGACATAAATGGCCTTGCTGATTATCGCAGACTTCATTGGGACTGTCATTGTGATGTAATTTGGAAAGAATCACTCTTCTTCACTAGAAATGTATCCATAACATGACAAAAAAATTAATTGAAGGAAGAACTCGTTTTAGATACACATTTGCCAGTTGTTCCCTATGGTCTCTTCAGGTTTATTAAAGTGAGCCTTTACCTAGATCATGCACACTAAGTATTAACATATTCTGCACAAGTAGTAAAAACACTTTAATATAAAAGCTCTCAATAACCTATGTATCTATAGGTATTACGGAGCACTAAATTGTAAAAAGTAAAAAAAAAAAAAAAAAATTGTACAGTCATA